TTGTATTTAGGTGGAACATATAAGATTGTAATGGTGGTAAAATGCATCTTCGGTACAATCCACAAGCATAGATGATCCAAGGCGTCAAGTATGATGTATAACCGCTCGCAGCGTGTATTTAGGTGGAACATATAAGATTGTAATGGTGGTAAAATGCATCTTCGGTACAATCCACAAGCATAGATGATCCAAGGCGTCAAGTATGATGCATAACCGCTCGCAGCGTGTATTTAGGTGGAACATATCAAATCACCGCACGCAGGCAGTACGTATAAGATCAGTGTGCAGGTGGAACGTATAAGATCATTGTATTTAGATGGAACACATCAGATCACTGCACGCACACTGTGTGTGTATGGGGGGGGGGGTTATTCATGTCCATTTTGTGTCCGTCCGCTGACCCCCGGCCTCTGTTGTCTTGCAGGTGATGATGTCCAGCAACCCCTCTGTGGAGCCGATCTCACCTACCTCACCTCCCTACAGCGGCCAGGGCGGCAAAGTCAGCAACCATTCCTCGTACGTAGAGTCGAAGATCCAGTACGCACCGGCGCCCGGAGGCCAGCAGAACTACTTCTTCAACGCCGGCGCCCCCTTCGCGGGCCCGGCCGAGCAGACGACGCGACTGTGGGTGCGTGCGCGCGCGTTAATGCGTGCATGGGGGCGGAGGGGCGAGCGGGAAGGAGGCAGAGAAAGGAGAGGGAAGGAGGAGGAGGGGAGAGGAGGCAGAGAGGGGAGAGGAGGGGGAAGGCGGCGGAGTGGGGAGAGGAGGGGGAAGGAGGCGGAGAGGAGGGGGGAGGAAACTGCGTAGGATGCATGGGGCTGGGTGTGTCATGTGTGCTGACAGGGCACTGACCCGAGATGCCTTCCTGTCTCGTTTGTCTGTGTCTGTGCTACTTCAAGGGTGAGGCGAGGGAATTTCGTGACCGTCTGTGGAAATGTGAAGATAATGACTTTGCGTCGGCGATAGTGGCCTGTCTCCCTGATGCAGCAGCTCCCGCCTAGGTATTGAAGGCGATGAAATATGTCCTCATGAATGTAAAAAAAAAAGAGTTAATCTTAAAGTAAAAATTCATAGATGATATAACAAACTTATCGCTTCAGTTTAATCATTATACGTCACGAGGATGTCCTCGTTGTTACATCACACCAGACTACGATAATAATAAATATACAATAATAAGTGGTATAAAGCAAGTCTCTGCTCACAGAGTCATAGACGTTTCCTAATGAAGTAGTAATGGTAGTGGTAGTGCTAGTACAATATAACTGCGCTATGATGTGTTCCACACTAATACTACTTCAGTCTTAACGTCATCGTCACCTGTATCCCTTTTCTCTTCTCTTTTTTCACTGTAATTACTCTTTTAAACTCGATTCCCCTGCTATAACGTGATCCCACATTGTAGACGATCCAATTTTTATCGGCCCCAATCACCGCATTACAATGGGGATACTCCGTGGTAGCAGTAAGAAGCAAGCAGTAGACAGTCACGAAGGCTTGATAAGAATCGGCATGGTCTGTCTGACTCTGTCTGTAGTCTGATGCTCTTCGAATAAGGTGACTCATTAATGTCATGTTCCTGATCGTTCCAGGGTTCGGGTCAAATTCCGATAAAGCCAGTTGAGTGCATAATCTGCCGTCGAAAGTTCAAGAACGTTCCAGCGCTAAACGGACACATGCGTTTACACGGTGGATATTTCAAGAAGGTGAGTAACGATTGCGAAGTCATTTGAAAGATTCTCGCTCGAGAAAATACGAACGGGTAACTGAAATGTGATTAGTGGCTACGTGACTCGGTGGTCGAGTTTTAGTACGGAATCGAGCGCAGTTCATTGAGGCAGTGAGTTCTCTTGTTATCGTATTTTTGCCACAAACCGAACTAGTCAAAACAAAACCACAATTTCATAGGTGACATCCTACCTATCATGTACAGTAGATACATCCCTAGGTAGAATTTTGTCCAAAAAACCTGAAATTCATAAGATTGGGGCTTGATATATTTTTTGGCAGTTGTTTCAAACATGGGGCCTAGATCTAAGTTAGTGTGGGCGTAAAAGATGGATCTGTTAATTTTGAGCAGCAGCTTTACGAATGTTTAATTTAAACTACAGCTACATTACTTATTTAAATTAGTTATTAATAATTAACCATTATTAAAATTAAGTGCTGCACCTATAGAATGATATTTGCTTATCATATATACTGGCTGCGTGATTTAATCGCAGAAGGAATTATCATGTTTTATTTATGTGTTTTGGCTGTCTGTGCCACAGTCAAGGCTACCTCGAGAAATCATGCATGGATTTACCAGCAGAACTCTGTGACACTTTGCTAACATGCTGCGTGATCTTAAATGTACGCGTTGAAAGTGAGATATTCATACGGCGCTGGTCGCCAGCTGTTGTTCACACCATCGCTGGAAGGTTACCGCAGTCGAAACTTAGCAGAACCGATCGTTGCTTTAATTAATGTCAGCATTGTCATTCACCACTCGAAGCCAAAGATTCCAAAAATTATTCAGAATGCCTATCACTGAGACACAGTTTGTGATGTGTGAGGGAATAAGGTCTGTGAACAGGAAAATGGATTTTCTTGGACTGCACGTATCAAAAGCCCAACCTTAGCAGAATCGACTTCCGTCTTTTTCTCGTCGTTCCGCGCCGTTGAAGTCCCGGTTGTCGTTTCAGGACCTGAAGCCAAAGGACCCACAGGAGCCTGGCGACACATCAAAGCCAGTGCCCCCTAGTGGTGCGCCATCGTCGTCGACAATATCCAATCAGGCGGCGACGGGCGGTCACGTGTCGTCGTCGCCGCAGCGCGGGCAGCCGTCGCCGCATCGCACGAGTCAGGCGTCACCATACCAGCGTGGGCACGCGTCGTCGTCGCCGCGGCTGCACCGTCGCCACGACGACGACGACGCCGCAGCCTCCATCCCCGCGTTCTTGCGCAACGGCCTCGCCGTGCCTGACCTGTACTCGGCACGTCTCGGCGAAAAGTTTTCGCCTCGAGACGCCTCCACGTTCGGCGCCCCGCTGTCGCTCGTGCACCAGCACCCCGTGAAGGTGGAGATGTCGACCGGAGGAGGAGGAGGCAGCCGCGACGACGACGATGACGACGACGGAGCAGCGGGAGGGGGAGGGTTCGCGTCACCGCCGCGTCCAGAGTACATCACGTGGCCTCACCGCAGCGAGGCGTCGAGCCCGCCGCGGTTGTCGTCTCGCGAGACGCGGGCCGCCGACGAGGCGCGGACGTTTGAGGCGCGGCCGCGCGGCGGTTACCACGGCGACGCGCCGGCGTGCGAGGCGTTCGCGCAGCAGCCGGCGATGGAGAAGCTGCGCATGGTTCTCGCCGGCCACGAGAAGTCCTACACGTCGCCGTACACGTCGTCGGCGGTGAAGCCAGACGCGGACGCGGCGTTCCCCGCTGGCGGCACCCTCTTGGGGCAGGTCCCCGCGACGGTGTCCGCGCCGCCGCCGTTGATGGCCGCGCCGCCACATCAGGCGTTCTTCCCCGCGGCGGTGGTGGCAGCGTCGCTGGCGCCGCAGGAGTACGCGCTCGCGCGGTCCCCGCTCGACGCTGCGTACGCGAGCCGCCTCAGCCCCTACGCACGATCCGCCGCCGCTGCCGCCGTCAGCCCTGGGTGGGGAGGTCGACCCGACGACGTGCCGCGCCTCGAGGCATCGCCGTACGCGGCCGGAGCGTTCGCCGCCCCCACCGTCGTCGCCGGCGGCGGCGGCTTCCACGCCGAGTCGTCGGTGATCGTTCAGCAGGGGGCGCCGCTGCCGTCGTCGCACGTCGAGCAGCTGTTCCCGCAGGACTTCTCTGTGCGCAAGCTGGCGGCGGCCGGCGCGCCGCGCCGCGAGGTGCGGGAGATAACGCCGGTGGCGGAGGCGGCTGGGGGCGGCGACGATGCGGCGGGCACGCTGCGCGACCGCCTCGCGTCGCAGTTCAACTTTGCGCCGATCAAGGACTACACGCTGCACAGCCGGCTAGCCGAGCTCGCCGACGCCGCCGCCAGCCGGCAGGAGCAGAGCCTGCGTGAGATGACGACCCGCGCCGACCCCGATGCGCCCGCCTCGCAAGAGGGCGCCGCAGTCACACGGCGTGCCGACGACGACGACGCGTACGGATTTCCGGCGAAGCGCGCGCGTAACGGAGATGCGCCTCCGCCAGAAGAGGGCGCCGGCGTGCTGCGCGCGGCGACGACAACGCCGGAGTTCCAGCGTCCGGGGCGGCTGCGGCACGCGAGCTCGGTGGAGGAGCGCGCGGCGGCGCGGCGGCGCAACCTCAGCGGACTCGAGCAGTTCCGCATGCGGCACATGAGCGGACCCGAGCGCGTGTTCGTCGAGCCGTCGCCGCACTGCGGCGGCCTCGTCATGCGCGCGCCGCGCAAGAAGAAGCACCGGCCCGAGCCGATCCACATCCCCGCGCACGTCAACCACTTTGGCTTCCACAGCCGGCTGCGCTCGCCGCGGCTGTGGCCCGAGGAGGGGCGCGGCGCGGCGTCGCCGCCGCCGTACACGCCACCCCCGATGCTCAGCCCCGTGCGCAGCGGCTCGGGACTCTTCTGGCACATCAACGGCGCGGCGACGCCGAAGACTCGATCAGCGCCCGTCACGCCGCGCATGTGCCTTGGCCGACGCAGTGAGTGTCCGCGCGCGTTTTTTCGTCACGTGCGCGCGCATTTTCCCGCTGGGTGTGCGCGCGGTCTGCATTGAAAAGAGACGCGTGTCGTAAATTGATTTTAACGGCTGATTTTCAGTCGTTTGGTGTTCAGATACCGATTATGGGTGTATCTGAATACTTCTCAATGAGTGCAACGATTGATTTACGGTGTGCGTGTGTGTCTGTTTTTTCATGTGCTTAGCAAACAACATGTGCGTAGCCAGTATACAAATGTTAGTATGGCCAAATTTCGAATGCAATAACATGCAAATTAATGGCAATCCTACCATCATTTCGAAGTCGGATTGTTTCCCAGGTACCAGATGTCTTAAACGTATGGTTATATTTGCTGCTTCGTGACGATTACCCGTGCTAGGTTGCGACGTTTTCTATTTGCAATACACGGATGTGTCATGCCCGCAAAGGCAGGCAGTACTCGTGACTCGTGAGCAGACATTAACTGGCTCAGTGAGTATGTACTCGTGACTTATGCGCAGACAGGAGGGTACACAGCTGGTGACGGACGCTGCCACTTGTTTGTGCGTGCAGGTAGCGGGCCCGGAGTCCCGCCGCATCTCATCAAACCCGACGGCGTTCCGCTAGACGACCGGCTGCACGCGCCATGCGAGGAGGAAGAGGAGAAGGATGTGATTGACAGGTCAATTACCATTCCTGAGGTGGAGGAGGAAGAGGAGGAGGAAGAAGAGGAAGAGGAGGAAGAGGAGGAGGCCATTCCTGTGGATCCTGCTGAACTTGAATTTGAGCCGCCTCCTGAAACAGACATCCAGCCGTACGTGCGATTCGTAGCAGCCTCTTGGCAGCTGTTTTTTTCGTACATAATTACTCGAAAGATATTGTGAATGTTGAGAAGGAAATGGATGTGTATTGAACTATGGCGTTGTACTGTTTAGCTGAAACCCTGTTACGATTCCTAAAGGGGAGGTCGATTGTAATCAGTAACTGCTGCGTGCGGTTTTCTTATGCCGGGACACTTTTTCGCCTGTGAATTGGGTTTTTACATTATGGGGTTTATTTTACATTGGGTAATGTTCAGCGACATCCAAATTTTACCTAATGTATATATCTCAAGTGTTTACCTTTTTGTTGATAGTTAATAAGGATTTCACTATGATATTTTTCAGACATGTTAATATCGGACCTCAGTTTCAAGCAGAGGTGCCCGAATTGATAGGTAAGTAATCGCTTTTTGCAAGTTGTCCCCGCTGCAATAACAGTGGTCGATGTTGCCTTCGGTCTTTAGCCGATGCGTCATGGCTTTAGTGAGTGCATTTGAGTCATTACATAACTGTGAGAATGTGCACTGGGATATACGCTTGTTGGCGTCGTAACATTCTAGATGTCAAGTGCACGTTGCCATGTGCATTTGCGTACGTGAGAGCGCAGGCAATGCGTGTGCGGGGTGATAAAACTTCTGTGAGTGTGTCTGCTAACGACTGACTGTCTGCTGCGCGTTATGCAGGAACCATGGAGGATGCTTTGAGGGCAGACGATCGCGAGTGGTTGTTGTTTGATCCGACCTGCTGCACCTGTACAGACGAAGAGCGTGAGTAAACCAGGTTTTACCTTCGTAACTAGCAAAATCATCGTTATCGGGTTAGCCCGCAGGCAGAACTGCATCCGGGTGACCTTCTACAGATCACGGGAACAAGTTTGTGTAAGTTTGATCATATAGTTGATACGGGTTTAGAAGGCTCAGGTGAACAACTTGAATCTTCTTATTCGGCTTGTTCAGAGAAACGTGAAGAAACGTTCAAGATGTGCGGCTGGCTGCGGTGAAGCTTGTGTTAAATTTGCTCTCGGTATTTCCATCTACAAGGTGCCATCGTCGAAGCATTGCACTGTAGAACTGCTAGGAATCCGATTTATTCTGCTTGCCATGACCTTTTCCTGCTTGTGGCCGATAATTTGGTAGAAATGTGAGCGGGGGAAATGTGATTACTGGTTATTTCACACTTGGAACACTTGCCGGTAGCTGTGGAGCAGTGTGAGAAAGGTTCACAAATCTATTTACCGTGAAACATGAAGAACAGGCACATGCTCACTTGTTTTGCTAGCTTCGAGCATGGTGCATGCCACAATTATATAGGCTCAATCCTGCTTTGAGACCCCAGTATAAGAATCACTGTCGTCTTCACCCTATCCCTAAATCTAACCTTCACTTGATCTCGTGTCCTTGATTAAAATCTGGGGTCCTTAAGTTGGATTTTACCCCTCGTCACTCCAAGCTGCGAGCACAAAGGGTAGCAGCGTAGCAGGGTTTCAAACACTTACATGTTTCATGGGTAGTTCGAAAACCTAAGAGGCCGCATGTTGAAACGTCGGATGCGCTTCCGCTTCACTGCTCTACCCTCACCACTACACACACACACACACAAACACACACACACCCCTCCTCTCCCTACACACACACACCCCTCCCCTCCCCACACACACACACACCCACCCCTCACCCCACATATACACGCCCTCTGCTCACTGAGTCGGCATTGACCGTGGAAAACCTCGCTTGCGTTGCAGTCGAGACGTATCTGGAGTTTGCCTGCTCAGCGGGAGTCACCGGATGCGGCCGAAACAAGGAGTTTGCCCTGCACCTGCTGCACTACACACGAGGAGACCTGGCGGTACGTGGTGTTGGAGTCGGCTTGACACGTGTCTCGTGTGCGTGGCGGAGAGGCGACGAGACTCGCGTCTCGCGTGCGTGGTGAAGAGGCGAAGAGACACATGTCTCGCGTGTGCGGCAGAGAGGCGATGAGACGCGTGTCTCGCATGCGCGGCAGAGAGGCGATGAGACGCATGTCTCGTGTATGGGGCAAAGGCGTGGGAGTGGCTCAGCTTCCAGCTGTTATTGATCTAGCAGCATTTATTAGTTGTTCATCGCCACTTTGCAGCGAGTTGCTCGCTGCGCTACTCACGTGGGATGAAGCGGATGAGAGCGGTCGATTGGGTGTCTGACTCGTGTATCTGTGATGTTTCAGGAGGCCATGAGTTTACTGATGAGTGGAAACTTGTTGTTACCCAAAAGCCATCCGCTGCTAACCTACATCTATCCAGGTATTATATTATTATTATTATTATTATTATTATTATTATTATTATTACTATTGTTGTTACCATCGTCATCATCATCTTCACCATTATTATTATATTGCATAGTTATTGCTGATGCAGTTGGTTGTGTGTTGTATGTGCATTTCTTGTTACCCGGTTCTCTGTGTGCAGTTATTGCTTTGAGCAGTAGATCTTCATAGATATTACTTAGGAGTTCAGCTTCAGCTATCGGTTGCTAATGGAAGATACATAGTAGGTCTGTAATACCCTAACCTGATCTCGATCCTGGCTGTTGCAGAGACGGAGCAGTGGAGTTCTGAGGAGATAGAGAGCTACTACCACGCCATGTGTAAATGTGACAAGGACTTTTTCCGTATCGCCGAAGAGGTAAGTAAATATCGCAAGCGTCACACAGAAGGCAATTGAGGATGTTTAGGGGAAAATTTGCGGGGTGCCTTTGTTTAATTTTTACCCGATCGCTTGTAAGCCGTGTTCAGAACACATTTAGCTAATATTGCATCTCCACTAATTGATCTATTTACCTGGCGTGATTGCCAGCCAGCTTTTAGCACCTACGTGAAAAACCGCGTACAAACTTGGCTATCCCGGCAGACCAAGGAAATCTCCAATAAGGGGGAGGGGGCATCGTCCTTCTTTATCTTCTCGTTCAGGCAGAGAAGTCGATTGAGATGCATACATACGGTCGTTAAACTGCCGATCGATGCCTCTTTCTGCGGAAAATACGCGGAAATTTTTGCGCACGGTAGTTCATCGTGGCATCTGCTTCATGAAATCACTGCTGAGTGTAACAACACCCAATGACTTCCATATCATTCAGTCGCCCGCGTTGCAGTAACGCTTTGCTCCGTGCGCGCTTGCAGGTCGGCACGAAGACGGTGAAGGAGTGCATCGCGTTCTACTACCTGTGGAAGAAGGTGTGCCCGGACGAGTACAAGCGGCTGCGCCTGATCCGACGCAAGAAGGAGCAGGAGGACCTGTTCTACAACCTGCGCTCGCGTGCGCCGCCACCTGTTGACGACCTGCTGAAGCTCGAGGACAATCTGTCCGAGTGCGAGGAGATCGACTATCGCGACGAGATGATCTGCAAGACCGCCATGCTCGACCATCTGTTGCTAGAGGTGTGTGCGCGCGTGCGTGCGTGCGTGCGTGCGTGCGTGCGTGCGTGTGTGTGTGTGTGCGTGCGTGAGTGCGTGTGTGAGTGCGTGCGTGAGTGAGTGCGTGTGTGCGTGCGTACGTGAGTGAGTGCGTGTGTAAGTGTGTGCGTGCGTGCGTGCGTGCGTGCGTGCGTGCGTGCGTGAGTGAGTGTGTGCGTGAGTGCGTGCATACGTGAGTGCGTGCGTGCGTGCGTGCGTGCGTGCGTACGTACGTGATGTGGGCGTGCGTACGTGCGTATGAATGCATGTACACGTGTATGTGCGTACACACGACTATGAATGTACCTGCGCGTGCCAGCGTTTGTAGCGTGGAGAGCACAGCATGTGAAGTAGCATTCAAAGCATGAAGCAAGTGAACATGGCACAGATAAGCCAACCGTTCAGTCGGTGTCATTTCCCTAAACACGCTCAAACACCACACGTCTTTCTCTTTCAACAAGTCACGACGTACCGAAATAGTAGAATTGAGGTGAACACCAAACCTGATTCACTGCATTTGGCGTTGTCATCACCAACTGGTGACATTTTATTTTGTTACCAGGAGTCATTAGATGTGATTACATGTCGATTGTTTGCATTATTTCATGCAGCAGGAGCCACTTAGGCCTAGCAGCACAGCCTCCAGCACCTCCGGTCCTCCAGTCATGATCTACGTCTGTGAATACCCAGACTGCAATGCTGTAAGCCATTTAATTCATTGTTCTTCATTCTAGGAATCTAGTTCGTGGTACTGCGCGGTTTTCCCACGCGGTCGCCTCAGAGGCGTTTACAATTCATTCAATATGTATACAAATATGTGTTCGTAAAGTTTTAATATTTTATAAGTGATTGAGTATCATTTGAGGATTTGTTCACGAGTATCGCACGTGGACGATGAATGCCATCTATTGTTGTACGTGTGTACAACCGCAGTATTGTATATTACGTGTTAAGTAATGTACACGCTAACCTTATGTCACCCACCGTGTGCGTGCGTAACTGTGTCGGCCTGGGAGGCTGGACTGTTAGATCTGACTCCGTGGTGCTATCGTATTACAGTGGTTCAAGTCTAGGCAGTCGCTAAATGGACACATCCGCATCCATGGTGGCCAACTGCCAAAGAGCAACTCTGGGCAGGAGAAGCTCAGCAGCAGTACGCCGCATGCGGAGGCGATACCGTACAACCCGTGCGATGATGCTCAAGAGAACTTTCCGTGCAGAATATGTGGAAAGTAAGCTGGTTTGATTGCAAAATTGCAAAATTTTCATTCCGCACACGCACTCGCTCGCACGTGGGGCGGGCGAGCGTGCGTGCGTGCGTTCACGAATCGCGTCAGAATTTCTCGGGGGAAAGAAAAAACTTTCTCGCTGCAGGCTTCGCCGAGTGTGCCGCGCGTTCTGCGAGGCTGGCCGCTCGTTCTAATTGCGCGCGCGACGTGTGCAGTCGCCTCGGCGGCGGCGGCCGCTCCATTGATCAGTGCTGATGCTGCAACTCTCTGTTCTAGAGTCTTTCACAAAATCAAGAGTCGCAATGCTCACATGAAAAGCCACAAGCAGGAGGAGGGCTTCAAGGCGATGAACAACTCGTGAGAGCGCACTTGGGGCGAGCTCTCTCATCATAAAGGGGCTCTGCACGCGCGCGCACCGCCTCGCGCGACCCGAGCAGTGACCTCACGACGGATGCTCAAGCGCCGCCGTGCGACAGCGACGGATACACGGACGTGAAGATAGCAGTCGCTGGAACCGTACGGTGGTTCTCACCCGGTGACAGTGTAGAGAGGCCGAGACAAGACGAGATTTGCAATATGGCGCCGCACCGAGCGCGTAGTAGGTGAACGCGTGAACAATAGTGGGGGTGAGCAATGGCGTCGCCAGCACAGCGGTGAACCTTATCGAGTTCTGGCTAACGATCCATTGACGGCTCTGTCAAGTATGCGTGGATTAATTTGGCACCACACATAAATATGCGAGGCTGCCCGTAGGTGGCAGCAGCGTCCGGTGGTGTGGCTGGTCATGACAGTTGGCGGGTAGAGCAAAAACGGGAATAGGTTTGGTTTGAATTTGGTGCTGGTTGCCAAAATTACAGTGTATTCCATTGACGAAAACGATGATTTAGGGAGAAATGTACCTGGGGCATGTCCGGGCTGGTATAATTTGCACTGTAATTTTAAAATAGAGTTTATACCCTGCTGTGCAGAATGGAGTTTTCTATTAAGTGACCACTCATTCCACAAATGTGTTGTTATGAGGATTTGTTGTCTGTACTCGTTTTACGTTTTGAAAAGTTTACGATCTAGTGAAAAGAGATATGTAATGTTGGTACAATATATACTGTATAAACATGAGAATAAACGTGACGCTTTCTGCGTGCTATTAATGCAGACAATACAACTACAAGTAGTTGCTTGTGTAATAGAGACGGTTGAATGGCTAGCTGCAACAGCTTTCTCTGTATAGTATTTCATCCGATTTTAAATATTACAATACACCTACCTAAAATGATATAGAATCATCGAGGTAAAGATGTAGCAGCCGGCATGAAGTGTAAACAACTTTATAGATATATTTTAGGAGAAAAATATTGAATTTATATTTTAAGCGAGATGGCGTACAGAATATTATATCCAGTGGTGTTACTTGTAGTGTTAGTGCAATAATGTGATTAATGTCAAATAATATTGTTATGTACTGTATATGTTTACAGAAATTGATGAGATGTTAGTTGGTTCGGTTGTGGTGAAGTGTGCAACACGGCACAAGTCGCGGCAACAGAATGTATCGTCGTAGACGCAAAGACAAGCGAAAGTTTTGTTTCTCAGGAAAACGGCCGGTACTTCAGCACAACTAACGATTACAACTCGTGAGACGATCAGAGAGTGAGTGTCCGGGAGTCTCCTCGTCTTGGAGTATCCCTTCCAGCTCTCTGGTCCTCCCTTCCCACTCCCTTGGCCACGCCCCTCTCCATCACCTACACAACTCTCTTGACTTCTCAGTCAGTCCCGAGTCTTCGTTCTCTCCCAGCCGCCGACATCGCCATCACAGTTCCCTGATTCTTATGCATCCATGACCGTCACACTAACTTCTATTAATTTTCGTCCACTTTGCCTTTGGCGTCTACTTTGCTACGTTCTGTTGCCGTGACCCGTGCCAGGTAGCAGATTTTGCTACATGGTGAGTTCTGTTGATTGTTTTAGAGTAGAGGCAGAATTGTGGTGATGAAATATATGTGAGGTCTATATGCTAGAAGGGTGCTCAATCCTGTACAATTACGTGGTTACAAGTCACTGCAGCGTGGGCGACTGAATGATACGGAAGTCATTAGCTGTTACACTCCAGCAGTGATTTTACCAAGTCAAACGATTTACGACGAAGTATGTTGGTGTTTTAATTTTAGAATGCGTGTGGTGTGCATAGACTCCAGTATGCTCGAAGCAGTTTGTTGAGTGGAGCCGACTATATACTGTTCCCTGTAAAGTTTGAAATATTTTTGCACTATGAACGTAGACTGTTTATTGTTCAGCTGACGATTTGTTTGTTTGTTGTTTGCTGACCAGTGATTTTCGTAGTAATCGGGCCTTAAGATTTGACGTGATTTTAACAGAGGCCTAGCGGGAAGCAGTGTGAATGATACTATCCACATGTGCTTGTACCTTCATCGGCATTAGGCCATTCATGGCGTATATGTACTCATTAATGGCCCAATGCTTATAAAGAGTACATACATACAGGCACTCGTGGTTAGCATGATACCAAATGTTTGAAGTTATTTGTAAAAGATAACATATTTTCCATACAGTTGGTCGACAGTATGTTTTGCTGTGCGACAGAGTATCGTAGAAAGTTTAGAAGTCTAGTTACGTAGGGAAACTGTGTTGTTTCTGCATCTTATAGAATGTGTGGGAAAAAATCGTACAAAAATTCAGCGAATACTTGTCGCATTTCACCCCTGGTCTACAGGACTTACGCAGTAATTAAGAAACGGCTACAAAACGGTAGAGAATCGTGTCGTACATTCGAACACTTGCATAATTCAACGTGGCCTGCAGTGTGGGTCTTCTTGTTTGTTAGACAGTTTCCTCTGTAAAGATATTTATTATATTGTGAAACAAACCATGAGTGCTGTTCGTAGTGTCAAAGTTTTAAAGCGTTGTGCACCAATGAAAATATGTCGCACGCAATGTACAATATTGGTACTACATATATTAATACCATATGTGCTTGAGCTAATAAGAAATACCCCGTGGAATCACTACGTGATGACGAATATTGGAAGATCAATGTATATGAAGATGATTTCAAATACATTTATGTCTATTATATATACTATTATTTCTCACCTTTGTTTTGTGGTGTAATTAATAATATATATATATATATATATGTTGGAAGCCACGGAAAGGTGGAAGCCCTGCACGCGCATGCTAAGTAGCGCTGTTGATAATGACAGCTAGATAATAATGTATTAACAAGAGCTAATGAGAGCTATTAGTAGGTCTTGATATTAACAACATATACGTTAACACTTGTAGTGCTTCGATCGTACCATGCTGTGTACCGGGGCAACAGAGATACTCTAACCTCATCAAGGCCGTTGAATAAGTTTTATCAATAGTATCTCCGTTGCCCCGGTACACAGCATGGTACAAAGCACTACAAGTGTTAACGTATATGTTGTTAATATCAAGACCTAATAATAGCTCTCATTAGCTCTTGTTAATACATTCTAAAGATGCAGAAAAAGAGATGAGAAGTAAAGGGAAGCAGGAAGAGTAAGGAAGTGAGTAAGAGGAAGAAACGGGGGATAGGAGAATATATATATATATATATATATACATATATGAGATAGAGAGGGAGGGAGGGAGCGAGAAAATATCTCTATATATATGTATATATATATATAATATATATATATATATATATATCAAGAGCTAATAAATAGCTATATATTATTATATATATTAGTTTATTAGCTCTTGATATACATATATACTAGCGGGATACCCGGCGTTTCCCGGGGAAATCAGTGGTGTTACTCAGTTGGTGACCGCTTGGTTGAAAGGAAAATACCAAAAAAACATCTATCTATCTATCCATGCATCCATACATGCATGCATCCATCCATCCCATTCCATGCCATCCCATCCCATCCCATCCCGTCGCACCTCATCCCATCCCATCCCATCCCATATCCCATCCCATCCCCTCCCATCTCATCCCATCCCATCCCATCCCATCCCATCCCATCCCATCCCTTCGCATCTCATGGGATCCCATCTCATCCCAAACAGTAAAAAACAATAAGAAATCAAAAGATAAAAGACATTAAAAATTATAAATAAAAAATAAAAAGTAAGAAATTAAAAATAATACATACTAAAGAGGTAGGTAAAGGGGAAAAATGGAAAAAGGGTAAAATAAGTTCCCATGCTGGGACTTGAACCCCGAATCCCGGTGTAGGAGACGGATGTTCTAGCGATTATGCCACTGCGCCATTAAAGGTATACACCATGGACAAACTCCACGACAGATGGCGCTCTCGCTATGGCTCAATTATCCTGAGTGTGGGAAGGGGGCGCTGCATGCAGTTTGCACCATGGATTCACACGTACGTATTGTTTTAATCTGTACGCACCGCCATCTATTGATGAATAGAATTTTTATCAATTTTTAACTTTAACTTTTTTTTTAATTTTCTCCTGACGTGCTGATTCTGAAAATATCTTTATAGTTTTCCTCTAGGCTGCGGAGTTATCTAGTTATGCGAGTACGGACTAATTCGGCTGAACAACTTTATATATATAGATAGCGCCCGAGTAACAGAGACAGAGTGCGAGAGAGAGAGTATGTGTATGAGAGGGTGAGAGTCACAGAGAGGGAGAGCGTGAGCGAGAAGACAAGAAAAGTAACTATATATAGAGAGAAAAGAAAGAGGTAGGGGAAAATTGTCGCGTCCGCAATTTAATGTCTGTGTATGTGCCAACAATAAACGTACACGCGTGCCTGTGCATGTGTGCGTCCGTGCCTGTGCGTGCGTGTACGTTTGCCCATCTCCCTTTGCATTACTCCCGCCCTCCTTGTCTCTCCTCTTCCCGTCCTTCTCCCCTCTCACTCCCTTCCCCTCAATATTTGCCTCCCCCTCTCGCGGTTAGTATCGCCCACGACCAGTCAAGCATGGAAAAACTTTCACCAGCAAATGGCCGTGTTTCAGCTCAAAGTTTTTCACCCCCCCCACAAAAAAAAACACAAAAAGTGGATATACGCATTTTTATAGTCATAATTATACACACGCGACCGGACGCGCACACGCGGGTATGGTTGCACGCACGCGTGCGCGTGTAGTATAGGCGCAAATTCACATTTTGTGCATCGGGGGGGGGGGTGAAAAAGTTTGAGCCGAAATACGGCTATTTGCTGGTGAAAGTTTTTCCATGCTTGACTGATCGTGGGCGATACTATCCGCGAGAGTAAGGAATTGAGGAAGAGTAGGTCTACGCGTCCGTAATGTGCGTATATGTATCTATGTAAAACAACCTGGCTTTACACGAGTTTCTCGTTAGTACATCTAGTTAGATCTCTAGGGGTTCGAATCCCGGTTAATTCTTTGCTAAAATATTTTCTAACTAATTGTGTAAAGGCAGACATGTATGCAAAGAATATTACGAATGCATGGATGGCATAGCTATGCTGCAAGCTATGAAGGTTGATGGTTCGAATCTCGGTAATTTCTTTGCTGAAATATTGTATAAATTGCCATTTCTCCAGTATATATATAGACTATATTGGGGGCGCCCGTTAGTAAGTAGGTAGCCGTAGCCCGTGTTCAAATCCCGGCCGGCAACAAGTGATTCAAGGAAAAGTAGTGTCCTAGCACTACTGAAAACTACGACGATTTAAAAAGGAATATTGTGACGCAGCTTTCAAATAACTCATATAAAAAAGGACAATCTAAATTTTAGTTAACGTAGATATTTTATTATATCTACTGCGCATACTCGTGGACTTATACTAATCACGGCCGGTGTAATACTAATCACAAAATTACAAACTCAACATTACAAATAGACGTACAAGTAAAACACGAGATTGCACGATTCCAAGTACACTTGACACAGATATACAGGTAGTACACTGTACTGTAGTCAGTGTAGTGTAAACAACGTCATATACTTCCACAGAGAATACACTGTTCTGAAAAATGGCTTGCTTATTAATGGGACGTTCCCTAATATTATACCAGTATAACGACGCTGTGTACGTCTACCAGAATATGTACTCACCTATCTATCTATCTATCTATTGGGAGAAGCGGGAGTTAAAGGAGAGAGTTGAAAGATGCACGCACACGGACAATCACGCACGCACGCACGCACGCACACACACATGCTCATATACACCAGGGGAGTAGCTAATTAATTTTTCTTAAGGACGGCAAAGCGTTAGGCACAGTGTGTTGTGAGCAGATGACCATGTGCAAATGGATGGGGGTGGGGGCATCCAACCCCACCTTCCTCCCACCTACACCACTGATGAAGGGTGTTCAAAGCTGCTAGATCACGTTTGTTATATGTGTGTATTGCTAGTGTTTCAAATTCAGCTGTCACGCGATTGGTTTTTTTAAAATATGTATTTATACCATGGTCACCAGTGGGCTACCTCACAATTGCCTCGCTGGGAGCCCGTGTGGTGACCGGTGCCACTGCCACACATTATATGACCACATCGTTACTCATCAATTAACATCGTTAAGAAAAAAATATCTTTTAGAAGCAATAAACATTCTTATAAACATTGGGCCGTACAAATAACTCTTGACATGTGACAAATTCATTGTTTATTTAACACAGCAATCAACACTGCTATGAAATGCATCATTTTACATACGCCCCCATTATGTCTTGTACTATAACAAAGTGCTTACCTACGATACTAACAAGTGTGACTATCTAAAATTACTTGATGAATTCGTGTTAAAATCCCTACAAAGGACCAATCAATGAAAGCGTGAGTGACTACGTAGAGTCTCTCCTACCATCAGCTACATCTAATATGCTCACTGCTGATAGCCAGTTTCATCTCAGAACTGTCATGGCTTCACTCATGATTCCTCATCCTCTGCTTCCTGTCTGATAATCGTAATACCTGAAGAAAGAAACAAGATACCAGGGGTAGAAATTAACTTTTGAACACGGGAGTCCAACCCCCTACCCTCAAAAAGAGGGAGTCCGCAGCAAAATGAGGGAGTCCGCAGCAAAATGAGGGAGTCCGCAGTCGGAGGTTCAAAATTAGAGATATTAACATTAACGCATGTGCTTATTTTTAAGATTCATGCGGTTGCACGTCTGCCAAATTTTCTCTGGACATTAGCTGAAAAAATACGGTAATTCCGCGAGGCCGTGCTCCGGAACGAACTAGTTAGTGTGGCAGAATTTTCAGGGAGTCACACGGACTCCTGCATATGTCAAATCAGGGAGTCCGACAGTAAATCAGGTAGTATTTGACTCCGGACTCCCGTTAATTTCGCACCCTGAGATACCATCACAGATATATACTAACATACTGAGATGCTAGGAGTATTTGAAGTGAATCTATACCAAATCTATCTACCATCAAGTTTTTTCAGGTTAGGCAGCCTTCGTGACACTTCATCTCGCCATGTCCCCTCTGCAGTGAATTTCTCCTCAAGTGGATTGCCTAGAAACGAAGTAATCAATTCAAGGTGGCAGTCAATAAGTCAATATTACAGGCATGCGCATGAATTCGTATAGATCACTACGTACAGAAAAATCAATTGTTATATTCATGAATATATATACACGTTATATTATAACTATGTATAAACATTTGAATGTAACATCAGCTTAGCCTTGGAACAACCAGACTCTGTTCGCTAAGTCACTTAATAAGCAAATTATACAAATCAAGATTTCCTGACTAACCTAGTCATACCCACTTAGGCTAATATTCATAATATAAGGCAAAAGGTGGATATAAGTTTTTGCTACTCACCAACAAACACTAAATCTGCAAGACACGGCAAGTCGGCTAGCTTTCCAAACTCTCCCCAATCTTTTACTAAATTGTTTGACATGAATAGAACCTGTAATCAGAAGAGTTCATATTGGTATGTAGCATTCCTAAATGTATATAAGAAATTGCTACAATTTATCCATTAACGAATTGTTAATATTGAAATATTGAAAAATTGAAATATAATAATGATTGGCTAATGCAGACCATACACCCTGGCCCAGTCTCAATCACCTTCAGTTTCTTTAGTACATTGATGCCTTTAAGTTTCTCAACACAGTTGTATGAAATCCATAATTCCTCGAGAGTATCACCCACAGATTCCTGTAATATTAATATATTTACTGTATACACAAGAAAATTAGTAGAACTTCCATCTTTTCTACAAGGAATACATTTTTTCTTAACGCATGTATCAGTTCAATATATAGCTGCTCATACTCAACATTCTATTAGAGATTCTGTATAAATAAAGGTAGAGACTATCTTATGAAAACGTTTGTGGTACTAATAGATTTACCCATATACTGACACACATACGTGCAATCAATCCATAGAAAGCCACTCAAAACTACAAGAGACATAGACTGCAAAAAACGTTTAAAATTGGTATGTTCCTTTTGTTACTTAGCATACTATACCATATACATGGGTCATACATAGCAATACTATGAGAGGTGAGTGAATAGGGATTATGACAGATAGTAACTCTATTATTGCATGTATCCTTAATATGCAAGCATTGCCAAGTATACGGCCGGATTGTCAATATATCTGAACATTTAGTAATGTCACACACTAATTATGCGACAGTAAATGATTATCACATCTCTAAGATATACTAGTATTCATCCCCCATAAAAATTTAACAATGTTAATGCATTAGGGACCTATCTCAGAGTATTCCTGTTTTATAGAATACAGCTCTTATAATTTTGTAGCAATTACTCACCAGTCCAGTTAGATTTTTAATGTTATTTCTTCCAAGTGATAATATGTGAAGATTCTCTGAAAATTAAATTACACGAGGGTAGGCAAACTTTCTAATCTAATGAGAAATTTAATATAACATGACTCAGACACTGGAATGATTTATCATGTAAAGATAACTCTCAAAGTCCAAACCTTATTAAGTATGCATACATTTGAGTGGGTTTTATAATGAGATTACAAACTGTGCCAGTGGTTCTGGCAAAAAATAAAAATAAATAAATAAAAAATTATGTTTACTAAGTCCATTCAAATTTGCTATCTTCTCTATACAGTTTGTAGACAAGGATAGCTTTTCGCAGTTCACTAGTGTAGATAGTGAAGCATCCATCTTCTCTATTGGAGGAAGAATGGCCAATAGTTTAATTTCTTTGGCTTCAGATGCCTTCATTTCATTTTCCTTTTCCTGTAAACAGCAAATAATATACGTGCACATTGATCAGTAATCTGTAGTTCCTCCTGTACATGTTTGATAGCTTATGATGCCACCATATTTGATTAGCACACCTTTGTCTCTGGCAGTAAATAATTCATATGCACACAGAACAGTGATTGCAATCAAGAGTTGCTTGTGTATTTGCTCACCCATTTAGAAAGAGCATCTTTGATAGTAGTGCCTTTAGCCTAAACAAACAAAAAGAGATACACATAAACCAATATTTCTACAAAGCGTGATATATATGAAGTGCTTTGCATGAGTTATGATAGGTATATATCTAGAGGTAACACAATGATCGAAATAGACAGTTATCCGGTTGTCTGTGCTAACTAATTGTCCTTGCAGACAACTAAAGAGCCACTGAACACAGGGCCAGAACATTGACCAAGAACTAAACACAGATCGATTGTTCCATGCTTCGTCTTTTGCATTCTTCTAGTGATGCAGCTAGTGATCGGTCTAGTGATGCAGCTGATGTAGTAACTAGTATGTTACTATATCATATGTACACGTTTACAATAAAGCATGTCACTTATTTGTATATTACATATGCTTGCTAAATTAGTCATTTATTATTGCATACATTAGCTGGTTCAGTTTATGCACAAGCCACAGACACACCGCTGCTCTCATTTTGGCACAGTTAAGAAGACTATAACTATCAGTATGTATTCCAATGTAATCATAATGCTGTCAGTGTCACTTGCCCTGGCTAAAAAACATCAGAATTTACTCCCCATTACTGGGCAAGTGCATGATTTGACCTGGAACGGGAAAGTAGATAATATCAGGAGTAAGATAATATAGGATATTATCTATATTATCCTATATTATCTTACTCCTGATAATATCAGGAGTGAATAATAATAGAGGAGTATGACTCGCTCGAAACACAAGAAATTCAACATTCCCTGCCCAAATTTACCTACGATTTATTACGTGTTCAAAGTGATCCAATAGAAATGACATCAGAACTAGCGCTGAACATCCAACTTGTCCTCACACTTTACTGTGTATTGATACCTCTTCTTACTATGTAGTATGTAGTTATAGCTTTGAACGTCAGACGTGGTTTCACTAGTATATACAGCTAAGATATATTATATATAGATACATATAGATATATTATTATATATTTTGAGAATGATCTTGAGCCTTCTTTACACAATTTGTTTTGTCAATCTTATGATCTAGATAGGTTCTCTTCCTTTCGATTTGGAAAAAGGCTCTCATTACCCCAGTTTATAAAGGTGGTAGATCTTCCCTTGCTTCAAATTATCACCCAATATCTTTGTCTTCACTTTGCTCTAAGGTATTTGAGCATATAGTCTACTCCTCTGTTATGAGCCATTTCGATAGGCATGACACTCTGTCCCATCATCAACATGGTTTGCGACATGGTTTTTCTACTGTTACCCAGTTAATCAATGTTCTTCATGATTGGACATTAAGTCTTGACAAGTTTCAACAGGTTGATGCAGTGTTTCTCGATTTCAGTAAGACCTTTGATAGGGTTCCTCATGATCTCTTGATTTTCAAACTTGGTCACTTGGGTTTGGATACTACTACGTTAAAGCTGGATTTCTGACTTTTTGAAGGATAGATCTCAAATTGTCTGTGTAGTGTTAGTTAACGGTAGCATGTCAGATGTGGCTGCTGTCACATCGGGTATACCCCCAAGGTTCTGTGCTTGGTCCATTGTTGTTCTTATCCTTTATAAATGATTTACAGTCCGACCTCCTTTATCGGCACGTCAGGGGACTGCACACCATCACGCGATATGAGAGTTATGGCTCAACACAGCATTTCTAGCAGTTTCAGTAGTTTATGCATGGGAATAATGTTATATACTCATTGCTTATGATTACTTGTAAGCAACTGTCGTGTGTTATGGTTCCATCATGAAATGTGAAACTAAATATGAAATAAAACAGAAATTTTACCACGCTCGGTTTTTATAGTTTGTGTTCTTGGATTGTGCTGAGAATCTAAGATTGCAACGATTGGATACACTGCGTATTGCGGGTCGCCCTTTGGATTGAAGTACGGGGCTCCATCAATTGGAACGAGTGCGTAGCGCGGTAGCGCCGTTTCGGTCACTAACATCGCGTAGTAAAAAGTTGTCTCATATACTGTCGAAAGTTGTCCGGAGGCAATGCTGGACAACGAGCAGACAACACGACACCACGCACGGACGCACGCACAGCACGACACTGCCCACGCGCCGCACGCTCGCCACGCGCACTGCCAGCACGCTACGCACACACACACATCAGCACACAACAAACGCACGACCCGCGACGACGCACAGCATGCTGTCAATTGATATTACTATGCTTCGGCCAGGCTCGGGCCGCTATCCGCGCTATAATTATATAGCACTTGGCAAGCAACTGCTCTAAATTGGATGCCATTCAGCATAAATTATGGCTGCGAGATGGGTTATACCAAAAACTATCATGGATAGTGTTGATGTTGACTGTTGTTTTGGGTCGTCTTGATTGGCATCCTCTTCGTGTCCGCTTTCCCCATGCTAAACGCGTAGGCTGCTGTAAAGTGTAAGTGAGGACAGACAGCAGGCCCTGGAGCTCAACGTTTTCGAAAAGTATTAAAGTCTATATTAAGAGCCGAAGGCGCCTCGTCTCAGTCTCGCAGCGCTTCGCCCTCTTTAATATCTAGACTTATACGCTTTTCGAAACTTGAGCCTCCAAGGGCCTGTGGACAGGATCAATTACAATACGACTGAACAAAACTACGAAGGGTGATGAGGTTATCCCTTCTATTTAGCACACGCACTTCCCTGTCTCCTATTTCTATCATACTCCTAATCACTTCTAGATATCTTATAGATATGAATAAATACCTAAATATTCTAGAATAATTTCTTAGATACATCAACTACCGCCATAATTATTTATGTTATCGCATGGATACCAGGCCTACCGCGGCCGACCTGTCGCCTGAGAATTGAGAACAGAACGGTGGAATATGTAATTAATAACTTGCCTTTAACGTAATCAATTTGCAGTCGTCTTTCATCAAAAACTTGTTAATCGACGATATAAAATTCAAAGCGGATAATTTGTAGGCCAATAAGAATAAAACAATCGACTCGGTTTATCTCCTGGACCAAAAATTGCCTGTCGACATTTTCCGTTGGAAAAATGGCGGGCCCCGCTTTAGCAAATGCATGGAGAAGAATGGTCCTTGTCATATTGCAAAAGACTAGAGTTTTACCTATGATCGCAATGTGAGGTAACGGTTGACATAGCAATATCAACTAGCCATTGGCAGATGCCTCCGTACGCTTGGATTGGATATGAAGCTGTATAATAATCTAGAATCGAGTGTAAATTGTAGTACTACTAGTATCAGGAGTAAGATAATTCAGGTAATTAGATAATTATAAAATTAATAGATAAATAATAATAGTAATAGATCAATATAGCATAATATATCTATATTTATCTTATGGTAGTTAGACTAACTAGTATACTTGTGTAGTAGTAGTAGTAGTTACTAGTAGTAGTAACTAGTAAGTAGTACTAGTAGTACTAGGTTACTAGTAGTGTAGGGCCTCTAGGTAGACGACTACGGTTCGGGACAGACGTTAGTTCACAACGCGGTACCAGTAGTACGATCCAGAGTCCGCTCACTGTCGGTGTATTAAGGCAGGGACCGGCGCATGACACTGTAGCCGATAACCAGGTATACCAGATGAACAGAACACGGTGAGAGGGCGGTTAACGATACAGGGAGATATAGCTTTTAATTGCCGTGTTACTAATGTTACAAATGATTCCCCTGCATTCGTATATGCCAAGCGGCCTTTTTAATAGTTTATTGATCCGATCTAAATCCTCTACGGTCGCGGCTCCGTCTGCTTCCTCCGTTTCGTCCCTTGCCTTGCGTTGGATCCACACGCTCGCGCAGGTGTCTCCTTGCAGTCGCTCCAGCTCTACAGAATTGGGGGGGGGTCCGATTTTCTTCGCGCCGAGTTATTCCCTCTCGTTCGGCCTTCTGGTTTTACACCTACCCTTGGAAAAACCCTGATCGTTTATCCTTTCGCACAACGCGCGTTTGCTCTCTCTCTGATTCCTGCTCCCTCTTCTCCCTTCCTAACCTATATACCTATCCCTAAAACAACTCTCTCTTATTCTCCTCCCGTGACTGCTTCTCTCTCCCTCACTTTCATTTCGTCTGCGTCCTTTCTTTCTTCTTCCTCACTTCCTGTACTTGTACCTAAAACGGCCTCTCTTTCTCTTTCGTCCTCGCTGCTTCTCCCTCCTCTTTCTCTTCGTCTTCGTTCCTCTCCTTCTTCTCCTCCTCCTACCTAGACCTGAAAATAACTGCCTTTTCCTTATTTTTCTCTCACGTCTTCTGGCCTGCTTCTCGTCCTTCTTCTTCTTCCTTCTTCTCTTCTTCTCCCTAGACCTGTTACTAAACTGCCTGAGCTGCGCGATTCTGTGCTCCTTTATATTTACCCAGGCCAGCCCGCCGATTATCGACCGGTGGTGCAATCGCTTGTGCCTGCGCTTACCGTGCCATGACTCATTGCCGACTAGTGCAACCCGACACGCCGTGGCGCTTGGCACGATTATTGCGTCATCGCAGGCACTCATTTCTAAGTGAATATTCTCCGTTTTTCGCATCCGACAGGCGGCGCAGCGCAGTATGAATCCAATATGGGCTGCGCCCAAGGCGTCAATGTTTGCATCGCGGTCTATGTTATATGTGCAGTCTATATCTTACTCTCTTTCAGTCAATATAGATGGTTATTCTCTCTATACGGGTGGAGTTCAGTCTATTCGGTCCCCGATCTGTCTACTACTCCTGTACGTGTACCCCCGAAGACTCTCACAGTAGTACTGAGTACTAGTAGTACTAACACTAGGTAGTGTAGTAGCTCATAGGGTCTATTGTCGTGTGTTATGACTGCGACGTACCTGGGTACCGGTCGCGCTATACCGGAACGTACCCTGGCTCACTATTTGATTGTTAGGGTGTACTTTAGGTTCTAGGATTGGGTTAGGGAGTAGGCTGTAGGCCGACTCCCTAGGACTCGTCTCAGTTATTGGAGTGCGAAGGTACGGTCCGGCATATTAGATAGCTCAGGGTACGTTCCGGTTATACCGAACCGTACCCAGGGTACGCTCCGGCACTCGGCAGTACCCCGGGGGGGATATAGACCCTCTCAGCAGTAGTAGTAGTAGTAGTACTACTACTAGTACTAGTAGTAGTACTAGTACTAGAGCTAGCGTGACGTTAGCTCTAGACTCTAGTACTATAGCCCGCGTACATTGGCTGCCGCAGGGCTAGGACATTTTCAGCTAGATTTCGCTGCTGCAACAGTTCCCAAAGTTCCGACGAAAAATCGCTTCACAAAACGCGCAATGATTGGGCTTTTTAACACTTATCTATCTACGTGGACATCTCACCTATCTTTTTGAACATTTTTCACAACTTTACACCATGTATTTATGCAGGTCTGCCAACATTGGGTGATAAGTGATAGTGAGATGCGAGGGAGCGAAGCGACCAAGAGGGGGGGGTTCCCATCTTCCTCAGTGATTATATATAATATAGCATTTTATAGCTTCAATTTGTGCATACTAAAGTGACTGTTTTCAGGTATTGTCAGATTTTTTTTTGCTGTGCGTGAGATATTTCAGCGTTTTATTCATGTCGAAGAGATATTCATGCGTGAGATATCTCAGCATTTTATGGCTGTGCGTGAGATATTGTAAGATCAGCGTGAGAGCGTGAGATTTAGGTTTTATTTTTTTTGATAGGTGAGAGTGAGATGCGAGGGAGCGAAGCGACCAAGGGGGGGGGTTTCCCATCTTCCTCAGCGATTATATAGCATTTTATAGTTTCAATTTGTGCAATTTGGTGCATACTAAAGTGACTGTTTTCAGATATTATCAGATTTTTTTTGCTGTGCGTGAGATATTTCAGCATTTTATTCATGAAGAGATATTCATGCGTGATATCTCAGCATTTTTTGGCTGTGCGTGAGATATTGTAAGATCAGCGTGAGAGCGTGAGATTTGGTCAAAAATGCTCCTCGAGTCTCACGGTCAATGCGTGAGAGTTGGCAGCCCTGTAATACTAATAGCCTTTAATAGCTTTATTCCTCACAAGTCAGCACTCTGGCTGTACAGTTTGAAATATTGTGGCGTGCGAACGCGTGACGTCACGGATATGTAGGCAAAACACATGGCAGCTATGGTGCATGTTATATACAATACCGCTGACGTCACGCTTCGCACGCCACAATATTTCAAACTGTACAGCCAGTAGTGCTGACTTGTGAGGAATAAAGCTATTAAAGGCATAAATACATGGTGTAAAGTTGTGGAAAGTGTTCAAAAAGATAGGTGAGATGTCCACGTAGATAGATAAGTGTTAAAAAGTCCGATCATTTTGCGTTTTGTAAAGCGATTTTTCGTGGGAACTTTGGGAACTGTTGCAGCAGCGAAATCTAGCTGAAAATGTTCTATAGCCCTGCGGCAGTCAATGTACGCGGGCTATAGTACTAGAGCTAGCGTGACGTGTGGTGATACTACGGATTAGTTTAGCAATATGCGAACTATAGGCCCCTTTATACAGCCTGTATTAGGGCTGAAAGGATCTATGTCCCCCAGGGTACTATCGGAGGGTACCCTGGGTACGGTTTGATATATCGGAACGTACCCTGGTACTATATAATATGCCGGACCGTACACAGGCACTTGGAACGTCTCAATAAAAAAAATTAATGGTAAATAAACACGAAATGTACCAAAGTCTTAATGTTTCTCTACTCTATCTCAGCACAGGGCGGGCGTGCGGTGTACTTGTGTGTTGCAGATGAGCATTTGACCGGCATTTACAAGTGATTATAGGCGAAATAGAGTAGAGATACATTAAGACTTTGGTACATTTCGTGTTTATTTACCATTAATTTTTTTTATTGAGACGTTCCAAGTGCCTGTGGAACCGTACCTCGCCTACTCCCGTAACTCCGGTCGCATCTAGATCATACTCATAGCCAGTATGTGCACGGTATTTGCGCATGCGTTAAAATTATAGTATGACGTCATGCATGGCAATCATTTTGATTGGTCAATCCCTCCACGTACGTGATATAAACAAGTGCACGAGATGTAAACAAGTGAGCAAGAATGGCGATGTCCCGTAGAGTTTGGACCTATGGTTTGGACGCTCGCCCGAAACTGGACGCTCCTAAGTGCGCATGCGCACGTGCTCTTTTGTTTTTCTCTTGTTTTCTTTTTGTTTGAATCTTGTTTTGCAGGGCCGTAGGAAATAGTAGCCATGCTCTTTTGTTTTCTTTTTGTTTCGCCTTGTAACCTGACACACATAACACAGTCTTACTAACTTACTACATTGCAAATTGTTTTAATCAAATGTTTCCATGAGTGACCGGGTTGGCCGCCATGTTTGTTTATTGCGACCGTTTTCGATGTGCGAGATGCGCAGATGACTACTGTGCATGCTGCGCATGCGCCCTTGCAAAACATACTATAATTTTAACGCATGCGCAGATACCGTGCATATCCTGGCTATGATCTAGACTTCTCTAGAACTTCTTCTAGATTCTCTGACTTCACTAGCACTAACGCTCATCAAGGAGCTAAATATAACAAGGAGAGGAAGCGGATTGGCTGTGTGCTTTTTGCCTCAAGGGCGCCATCTATGGACCATAATCAGCTGAAACGTCTGTGCAGGCGGAACCCAGAGACAATAGAACACTAATCTGTTCTAGGGTCTCTGCCGATCACAAATTTGGGCCAGATATGGCGGCGCTTCCTCTCCTTGTTATATTTAGCTCCTTGATGCTCATAGGATCTATGTCCCCCAGGGTACTATCGGAGGGTAACCTGGGTATGGTTCGATATATCGGAACGTAGCCTGGTAACTATCTGATAGTGATATGTTTAGGGACTCGGTGTAGGCGACTCCCTAGACTCGTTAGTGGAGTTGGCGAGGTATGGTCCGGCATATTAGATAGTACCAGGGTACGTTCCGATATATCGAACCGTACCCAGAGTACCCTCCGATAGTACCCTGGGGGACATAGACCCTCTCAGCTCCACTAACGAGTCTAGGGAGTCGCCTACGCCTACTCCCTAACCCTAACCCTAACCATATCAGATAGTTACCAGGGTATACGTTCCGATATATCGAACCGTACTCAGGGTACTCTCCGATAGTACCCTGGGGGACATAGACCCTATGAGCTGTATTAGGGGATCCATACTAGGATTGTGCAATATCCTCTACTGTCCACGGCTTATCCTTGCCTTGGTCCTTCCTACTTTTCTTGGGAGAACACGTCTGCTTTGGTACCACGGTCCTACGTTCCGGCGGTCCTGTGTAAATAATCTGAAGCCAGCATTTTCTAGTTTTAGAAATTTTATATCTGAACTATTACTATTGGGCCAAAACAAAATATATGTGTGGTTATATTATCGTTACATGCCGGAAAAAAATAGGGTAGGTAGGTAGGGAAAACATTTAATTTTCTTGAAATATTTTATTTACGAACCATGTCTGAAGGATGTGCGTTGTGCCTTTTGAAGCAGGAACTGTCCAATTAATTTTTTTATTTATTTATTTATATTTTTTTTTTTTTTACTTTAAAGAAAATTGACAATTAAATGTTTAGGGTCGCTGGTAATAAATAGGGTCGGTCGGGAAACCGTAACCACACCTATATTTTGTTTTGGCCTTAGTATTACTCTACCTCATGCCGTTGCCTGCCATGGATCACATTGGGTGTGGACCATAGAAATATATTATAGTCTAATTAGTATACTATTTCTATGGTGTGGACATGCATTTACGAAATTACGTGATACATAGGCTTAGTTACTAAGTAGTAGCCTCCGTGTGTAGGTACTTTTAAGTTATAAATCCAGAAGCTCATTTTTGCTATGTGTATTTTAATGAATATATACACTATTTTTATGATAAATCTTTTTCAGGATTTTCTAAATGGCTCAATTTACAACAGATTCAGACGTCAGCGCTGCCTTAGGTAGGAATTGTAGTCACAGTGTGCATGGCAATAGAGGCAAATAATAGCATTAATTGTTAAATATAATGGCATAGTCCTAAGTATGTTTTCTAAATTAATTAATTAGAACTTTCAATGCAAAATTCTGTTATGACACACTTTGCTAATATAGACTTCTGATGCAATGCTGGTGTAACAATAATCAGTGATTTCATCGATTTTGTTTGTTCTAGCATAATTACTGCACAATGTTCAACGTCATCAGCCACAAAAAATGAAGTCCCTACTATACAGGTATTTTCACAATTAAAACAGTGTACCACATATATAAAAAATGTAATGTTCCAACTTATATAATAAACTCTTTAATGGTGTACTGTATACATCAATATAACGTTCTGGTTTTAGTTCAGTGCAGAATACAATACGAGACAAGTTAAAATTGTATAAATGTGTAAAAATGTGAGATTAATTTGCACGTATTTATATTGTCAGCAGGTGGAGAAAATACCAGATAAACTATTTAAAACTATAGCAGTAGAGGTCAGAGGGCATGACCGTGCAGTACTGGACAGCTATCAAAAATTTGTGTCCATGGTTGCAAGTGAACTGAACGTCAATGTCTCGAAAATGTAAGTTGGTCATAAATTTGGCATGAAAGTTTTCTTACTAAATATACAATGCAACAATAACAGTAATTATTGCATGAGTTATCGCCAGCATTTTTAGCTCAGCTGACGAAGTCAGATGCAGCTTGTAGAATCGCATGATTGTCCGTCCGTCCGTTCGTCAACAGTTGGGCACAAATCTTAACCGCTCGATTCTTTATTTATCACATAACTTAGTTGCAATACAGCAGGTGTATGATAGGTATAACGTGAGAGTATAATAAAAAAGAATAGTGAACTTAGTAACAAATGAGTGCTGTGAGGGTCAAAGTAGCACTAGGCTTTCGAGTCGACCCCCACATGAATTAATTATGAAAGACACCATGCTATTGTTTGCAGTTGGGAGCCACGTATGAACTGGTATATGAGAACACTACTGAAATCTGCACACGTACATAAGAAGCATAGGGTTCAGTATGAGATCCGCACGCACTACCGAGTGATCGAGGTAATGCACAAGTTCTGTTGCTTATTAGCTCAGCTGACGAAGTCAGATGCAGCTTGTGGAATCGCATGAATGTCCGTCCGGCCGTGTGTCAACAGTTATGGTACAAATCTTAACCGCTTGACAAACGATCTTGATATTCGGGACGTCGGGGGGGGGGTCGCGAAAAGGACTCGGGATGTCGAATTTTGGGGTCAAGGGTCAAAGGTTGAGATGTGTCAATGGAGGGGGAATATTTCCCCATTAACTTAAGGTATAGGAGGAAATACGGAAATGCGGCACAAATCTCAATGGCTCGACCTATGCTCTTAATATTCGGTGTATAGTGTGATGGGGAGGAAACCCATCACCAGTGAGAAATTGGAGGTCACAGGTCAAAGGGCAGTGGGGGAAAGGTCAGATATCATTCCCCTAGATACAATAATGTAACCCAAACCCAAGAGGATAGGGTTACAAAGCCTCCCTATCCTTTTGTGCGGAGGAATGCCCGAGTGAATCACTCGGGCCGGTTTGCTGGTGCGTTTTCAGAGACTAGAACTTCCAAACTGGGTTTATTCTCAACACGAACCTTTCTCCGCTATCTGGGAACTTACTATGTATCGCAATACTCTGTATTAAACTAATATAACCTGTTACAAAAATTCGAAGTGACTAGCGGCGAATATACTGAGCGCCATTTCTGTTGACCTGTGACGTACTTCACGGCGTAGTTGACTGAAGTGAGACAGATCATTACATTTACAATACGACTACAACTTACAAGGGTATGAGGTTATCCCCTTCTTTTAGCTACACGCACTTCCCTGTCTCCTATTTCTATTCATACTCCTATCACTTCTAGATATCTTATAGATATGATAAATACCTAAATATTCTAGAATAATTTCTTAGATACATCAACTAACCGCCATATTATTTATGTTATCGCCATGGATACCAGGCCTACCGCGGCATCTGTCGCGAGAAATTAGAACACGTGGAATATGTAATTTAATAACTTGCTTTAACGTAATCATTTGCAGTCGGTCTTCATCAAAAATTGCTATCGACGATATAAAATTCAAACGATAATTTTGTAAAATAAGATAAACAATCGACTGTTTATTCCTGGACAAAATTCCTGTCGACATTTTACGTGGAAAAATGGCGGCCCCCTTAGCCAAATGCATGAGAAATGTCATTTCATATTCAAAGACTAGAGTTTTACCTATGATCGGCAATGTGAGTGTAACGGTTGAATAGATATCAACTAGCCATTGTGCACATGCTCGTACTTTGATGATATGAAGCGTAAATAATCTAGAATCTGGTGTAAATTGTAGTACTACTAGTATCAGGAGTAAGATAATATAGGTAATAAGATAATATAATAATTAATAGATAATATAATAGATAATAAGATAATATAGATAATATATCCTATATTATCTTATGGTAGTTAGTACTAGTAGTAGTACTAGTAGTAGTACTAGTAGTAGTACTAGTAGTAGTACTAGTAGTAGTACTAGTAGTACTAGTACTAGTAGTGTAGTGCCTCTAGGGTAGACGACTACGGTTCGACAGACGTTAGTTCACAACGCGTGTCCAGTAGTAGGATCCAGAGTCCGCTCCTGTCGGTGTATTAAGGCAGGACGGCGATGACACGTAGCCGATAACAGGTAATACCAGATGAACAGAACACGGTGAGATGCGGTTAACGATACGGGGATATAGCTTTTATTGCGTGTTACTAATGTACAAATGATTCCCCTGCATTCGTATATGCAGCGGCCTTTTTAATAGTTTTATTGATCTCGTCTAAATCCTCTACGCGTCGCCGGCTCCGTCTGCTTCCCTCACGTTCGTCCTTGCCTTGCGTGGATCCACACAGTCTCGCAGGTGTCTCCCTCGCAGTCGCTCCCAGCTCTACCAGAATGCCGTTCTTCGCCCGTTTTTATTCCCCTCTCGTTCGGCTCTGGTTTACACCTACCTGAAAAACCTGTGCGTTTATCCTCTCGCTACAACGCTGCCGTTTGCTCTCTCTCTGTTCCTTCCTCCCTCTTCTCGCCTTCCTACCTATAACCTATCCCTGAAAACAACTCTCTCATTTTCTCCTCCCGTTCGACTGCTTCTCTCTCCCTCCTTTCCTTCGTCTTCGTCCTCTTCTTCTTCTTCCTCCTTCCTGGACCTGTACCTAAAACTGCCTCTCTTTCTCTTCGTCCTCGGCTGCTTCTCCCTTCCTCTTTCTCTTCGTCTTCGTCCTCTCCTTCTTCTTCCTCCTCCTACCTAGACCTGAAAATAACTGCCTTTTCCTATTTCTCTTCGTCCTCGGCTGCTTCCTCTCCTTCTTCTTCTTCCTCTTCCTCTTCTTCCTCCCTAGACCTGTACCTAAACTGCCTGAGCTGCGATTCTGTGCTCCTTTTATACCCAGCCAGCCCGCCGATTTCGACCGGTGGTGCAATCGCTGTGCCTGGCTGTACCGTGCATGACTCATTGCGATGTCGCAACCCGACCCGCCCGTGGCTTGGCACCGATTATTGCGTCATCGCAGGCAACTCATTTCTAAGTGAATATTCCTCGTTTTCGCCCGACAGGCGGCAGCAGCAGTATGATCCAATATGGCGGCGCCCAGGTGTGAGCGTGTTGACATGTATCTATGTGCAATCTATATCTTATCCTCTCTTTAGTCAATATATATGGTTATTATATCTATACGGTGAGTTCAGTCTATTGCCCCCAATCTAGTCTATTACTCCCTGCTCGTTGTACCCCCGAGCATCCACAGTAGTACTACTCAGACTCAGTAGTCCTCCACTACTAGTAGTTTTAGTAGTGCTCATAGGGTCATGTCCAGAGTTCATGACCGGAAACGGTACCACTGCGGTTACGGTCGGTCCTATACCGGAAAGTACCTGCGTCACTATTTTTATATAGCTTAGGGTTACTTTAGGGTTTAGGTAGGGTTAAGGGAGTAGGCTGTAAGGCGACTCCTAGACTCGTTAGTGGAGTAGGCGAGGTAAGGTCGGATATTAGATAGTTACCAGGTACTGTTCCGGCCATATACGAACCGTACCCAGAGGTTTACGCATCACGGCACTCCAGGCGTTACCCGGCGAGGAGACTAGACCTCCTCAGCCAGTAGTAGCTAGTAGTAGTATTACTACTAGTCCTAGTTAGTAGTACTAGTAACTAAGAGCTAGCGTGCACGTCTAGCTCCATAGCCTCTAGTAACTATAGCCCGCGTCACATTTGGCTGCGCAGAGGCTCGGACATTTTCAGCTAGATTTCGCTGCTGCAACAGTTCCCAAAGTTCGACGAAAATCGCTTACAAACGCGCAATGATTTGGGCTTTTTTAACATTAGTCTACTCTAACGGTGGACATCTCACCTATCTTTTTGAACATTTTTCACAACTTAGTCACCTCGTATTTTGGCAGGCTCTGCAACATTTTGAGGTGATAAGGTGATAGTGAGTATGGACGGGCAACGCGAAGGACAAGAGGGGGGGCGTATCCCATCTTCCTCAGTTGATCTATATATCACTATAGCATTTTATAGTTTCAATTTGTGCTACATAAAGTGACTGTTATCAGGTATTTGTAGATTTTTTTTTGTTGTGAGTGAGTATTCAGCGTTTTATTATGTCGAAGAGGATATTCTATGCGTGAGATATCTCAGCATTTTATGGCTTGTGCGTGATTATATTGTAAGATCAGCGTGAGGAGCCGACCAAGCACACACATCGAAAAGCCGGCTGCTCCGAGATTTAGGTTTATATTTTTCGTATTGATAGCAACGTGAAGAGGCAGCATGCGAGGAGAAGAAGCGCAAGGGGGAGTTTTCCCGATCTTCCGCAGAATCTATATAGCTATTTACTATAGCTTTTCCATTTGCATCAATTTGGTGATACTAAATGTGGGACTGTTTTCAGATATTATCAGACTTTTTTTTTGCTGTGCTGTGAAGATATCCCACTTCCAGCATTTTATCTCATTGATAGAGATATTTCATGCGTTTCGATATTCAGCTTTTTTGGCTGTGCCGTGTAGATATTGATTAGTCGCAGTGTTGAGCGTGAGCATTTGGTCAAAATGCCTCTCGAGTCTGCACTCGGTCAATGCGTCGAGCGTTGGACGACAGCCCTGTCAATACTAATAGCCAATTTAATAGCTTTAGTTCCTCACATAGTCGCCACTCTGGCTGTACATGTTTGAAATTATTGTGGCGTGCCGAAACGCGTGAAGGTTCACGGAATAATGTCAGGGCAAAACACATGGCAGCTTTATGAGTGACTGTATATATACATACCGGTTGACTACCGAGTTCGCAACGCCACAATATTTCAAAACTGCTACAAGCCAGTGGAGTGCCTGACTTTTGACAAGTAATAAAAGCTATTAAGCGCATAAATACATGCGTGTAAAGTGTAGGAAGTGTTCAAAAGATAGCTTGTGAGATGTCCACGTCTAGATAGATAAAGTAGTTAAAAAGTCCGA